TCTATGTGAACAGAAACTCTAATCTTGTCATTTACTTTTTTGTAGTGAGCCTTAAGAGAAGAGAGTGTGGAGGAAGGGGGAACCTCAGAGTGTTTCCCCAGAGGATGCTGTGAGTGGAGAGTGACCAGAGGTTTAAAAGGGAGACCCCTCACAAAGTATACATGCATGGAGATGTTGGTGTGAACCTTGGTGAGGGGTTATCCCTGCTGCTATTCTCCCAATTATTATAGGAGTCACTCCACATCTCTTGCTTTTTTTTCATACATCTCTAAAAGGAATCACTGTCACAGAAAAATAAAATTTCCATCAGAAAATACTGTGGAAAAATCAAGATACTGTGTGGTAAAGTTATGAATCAGTATCCTCTGTATGTGCCTAATGAGATTCTGCAGGGACATGATTTCACCAAGCTAGGATTCTCAGGAATCCTACCTCACATGGAGGCAGTGAGGAAGGCCAGGGAGGCTCTCCAGAAATTCCAGGACTCATAATGCCACCGCCTGCTGTTGACTTCTTTATTGACTCCATCTCCTCCCTCCAAGCTCTGATGGATGCACTAAAGACTATAGATCCTTGTCACTCCTTCAAGTTGATCTTGAATTGATCATCTACTCGCTGACCTTGGCATCAAGTTCCTACCCAAACTATGCTCAGCATACTTTTTCAGGAATACTCTCCACAGTACTCCAAAACTAGGTACAGAAGTCTGAAAAGACAAGGTGCATGGACCCAGACCTGAAAGTGGTCACTTAATGAAAAGTTTTCCTAAGGAGCTCTGCCCTTTGGTGCAGAGACAAAAAACTCATGGTAATTTGGCTACAAACTGGTTGATTTCAATCTCTTGACTTTTGAGCATTTTTGTATACTCTCCACTGGTCAACACCAACCAGAAGAACTAGAGATGAGAAATCTGTAATGCTGTTTGCTGGGACCAGCATCCTGGAATACTAAGCATGGTGAAGAGACATGAATGGGTCTAAGTAGCAAAGCAAGCTGCCCACATTCCAGTGGTCACATCACATCATCCTCTCTCTTCCCACTCTCTCATAATACATAATACTGGTGATTATCAGGCTCAAATCCTGCCTGTAATCATGTATCTGAAACACCCTTGGGATTCTATCTAGGGATGTTTCTTCACAGGACACTCATAATAAGATTGGCCTCAACCATATAGTGTATCTCTTATGCTTTTCTATCTTTGGGAACCAGCACTATTCACTTCCATCACAGTAAAAGCCACACAGATAATTTTATAAACATAAATCTAGGCCCTGGTTTGATGACAATTGGCATTCATGTGTGAAGCAAGCTTATCTAGTACTAGGATTCGAGTTTGCTGTGTAGCATTCCCACAGAAGGCTCTCTTTGTCTTTTTCATTCAAGGATAAGAAAATATTTCCAGTTAGAAATAGTTTTGGCTGCAAAATAAAGAGAAGCTCAACTCAACTAATTTGAACAGTCAGTGATCTGTGATACTGAAGTACAAGAAACCTACAGATAGGGCTGCTGCAAGATATTCAAGTCAGTGACACAATGTCTTGAAAAAATTAGAATTATCCACTTTCACCTCTGACATCTTCAGAATATTGTCCTCATTCCTCATTGGGCATGCTTTCCAAACACTTAGGATATGACTTCATACTCAGAATATGATATGAAATACAAGAAAAAAGAACTTCCTTTCCTTCTATCTCTTTTTATATCTGCAAAAACTCTTCTCAGAGTCATACCATGTAGAATGTCCTGCTACGTCTCATTAGAGTGCCCTCTAATGAGATATAGCAGTGCCGTCAATGTAACTAACACATAGGCCTTTTTTACCTACCCCCAAATTATATACACCTCCCTCCCTTGTCCAAATTAAATTAAAATATTAACATCTATGCAAAATGCAGTCATTATTTTGTCAAGAACTGTATCTAGTATCATCTTGTTACTGCCTCTAGTTCCATTCAGGCACCCAAGTGATGCGCATTTAATTCCATTAATTCAGTAAATGTCCTTTCCAGATGTACATTCTTGGGCACAAGAATAGACAGAATCACACTCTTTAGCAAAGTAAGGTCCATTACCCGCAGGCTCACAGTACTCTGTTCTTCTCTTCGGAAAAATTCACCTAATCTATCTGGAGAATCATCCATGGACACTGGAACTTCCCTCTGGGAGATTTTCCTTATTTGGCTTATTTTGTGGTCATACCTGGGTGTTTGAGATGAAACACCCTCCTAATGTTTCTTCATATTTCACAATCTCATTTCTTTTGGCAAAAGGCCAGGCCTCAGGTTTGCACCTTTGGGTTTGAACATATGTTTTTGTCATGTTTTTTTCACTTGTTAGTTTGGTTTTGTTTTATGTTTTTTCTTTTATTTTAAGAGGTGGGGAGTAGTAATTTTATTTTATTAAAAACTTCTCTCTTACAAATTTTCTGTAAATGATGTCATGAACATATTTATCAATGTATTTTTTTTTTTTTTTGGTGAGAAGATTCCTGTTCCTAGCCATGGGTACCAGTTTCTGCCAAGTCCTACTTAATGGCTTTGCCTTGGAGAATTGCCTCACAGCTATAGGTATGAAAGTGCCCAGTCACCCAGTCCCTCCCAATTGCATCTCTACAGTAGAGACAGTGGGCTTTTCTGCCTTGGGAGCAGGTAAAACCAGTATTGTTTCAAAGAACACCCTGTAATGGACATAATTTGCTAACACTATTTTGGCTCTGTAAAAATGGAGCAATAAAACTTTAAACGTTCATTATAAGTGTATGTGTGTTTATAATCTTAAGGTACAGTACTCAATTTTTCCCCAACAAAAGTAATAACTTAAACTCACTACTTGGGTTGCAGAAGACATTAAATCCTCTATATTCTTCTGTGTGTCCAGCCATGGAAGCTTATTAATAAAAGGAGTAGAAAATCATATCTCATTATACAGTGCTTGTGATGACTAACAAGGGTGAATACTTTAGCCATTTAACATAAAATATGAAACTGGGGTCATACTTCCCACTATCTACCAGTAAAAAAAATCAAATTGATCAAATATTTACATGTTTACAAATGAAATCATTTAATAGTATTCTAAGACAGTATAGATTCATTTTATATTGTCTGATGTAGGTAAAACTTCTTTAATCATAACTCAGAATACCTGAGCCATAAAAGACTAACAAATTCAAATTTATAAAAATGGTGTGCATGACAACAATATTTTTTTAATCATAACCAAAGTGAAGTGACCAATGGAAATGTTGGAAATTATATTTGCAGCTTGGACAACTGAAAAGGACTCATCTGCGTATAGGTGGAGAGCTAACAGAAATAGAGAGACAAAAACCTGTCCACAAGAAGCCTCATGCCCCTTCCTTTGCTCTGACACCTCCTTAACATGCTCCTGAAAGGACAGCATCATGAGACATGAGCTACACAATGTTGCAATAAGGGAATGAAGAGGTAACCATATATTCTAATATCAGGCTTGAATGAATCTTCTTTGTTTTGAGTAACAGGTACACACAATTGAGTAAGCATATATAGAAATCATAAAAAAATAAAAGCTGTTTGATAAATTACACCTTAAAATGAGATTATACATTATTTTAAACATCATGGTAGACAAAACTGACCAAGTCTTCAGCCACAGAGTAAATCTCAAAGAAATCCAAATAACATTAATAATAACATTTTGTTGGTTATATTATTTGACCCCAATAAAATAATATATGTAAATAACTAGAATTTAAAGCATATATATAAAGCAATATCATATATATATAAAGTAATATTATAGAATGCCAATTCTAGTCCTTGAAGGATTGTCTAAAATCATAGACATAAAATTAATAGGGCTGAAATAAATATATGTAGTTAAAGGAAATGAAATTGTTATTCAAATTACAAAGGAGTATTATTAAAACTTATTATGTACAAACACTGGAACACAGAAACTGAATCATGAAATAATGATTTCAATCTCACAAAATTTTTTATCTTCTAGAAGAGGCTTAAAATAAGACCAAAAGAGTGGAACCATTACAAATTATGATAATGTTATAAGAAATAAAAGATCAATAAGATTTCATGGCGAATGTGGTCATAGAGATGCTCTTCAAGTTGATCTTTTTAACTAGAGATAAAAGGTGGAAAAGGCAAAGACAAGAAATATTGTGAATGACAATTTCTCACAGAATAAGGAAAATTTGCAAAAAGAATGTGTGTCATTCAACAAAAGAAAGCCAATATAAGAGTTTTGTAAGTAGGATGGCAAGTTAAATGGTATTAAGTTGGAGAAGAGATGAGGTAAATTTATTTTCTTCAAAGTCAAAAGTTTGGTTGTAATTCTAACCCAGTGAGGAGGGATTACATTATACAACTTAATGTTTTTGTACATTTATTTAACACACTGCAACACATCATCCTTACTAAATAATTATTACACATGTTGCAAAATAAAATCCAGTGAGTCCTATATATTCATAAGGTTAATTAATCCTCACACCAACCAAGTGTATTAAATACCAACTTTATCCTCCTCTTGCATAAGATGAAACAGACTTACAGAGAGTAATTTGCCCACAATGACATGCTTTGAATGGGAAAGCCAAAGTTTGGACAAAGGCAATCTGGGTGCAAAACCCTGGCTCTTACTTCTTATGTGATGATGGCTCTTGGTGTAGAGAATCAGGTAGTCAGATAAGCTCAGGCTCTATTTAAGGAGGAGATGGACAAAGGGAGGAAAATTTATGACTGGACTTGGAGGATGCTCCAGGATAATGACAGAGAATAATGCATGGCCTTTTGTATAGACCCTGTTTGGGATTTCACAGATACCAGGAAAGTCTCACTGGGTCCCATTCCCCTTATTGTTGGAACTGGAGCTCATTCAAACAGGGTATACTGCCTAGAAAGGAAGTTAATGTCCCTTCCAACCACAAACAGCAAGGGGTTATTCTGGAAGTCCATGAAAGCTGTACTTGATTAGAACAAAGCATTGATTTCATGCAGCAGTCTTATGAAGCAGAACAGGCTGGGTTACTATGTGTAAAAGTCCCCTACTCAGATGTGGAAAATCATGTTTCCACTTTGACTTGGTGCTCCATGGGAAGAAGATTCTCCACATGCTGAGTAGAGTCCTGCTGCTCCACTGAGTCAATGCCAACTGCCTTTTTGTTCCTCCCCAGCTCTGGCTTATCTGCTAATGCCCGTCGCAGAATCACTCTGAGAGGTTCCTTCAGCCTTTTCTTTCTGAGGCTGCCCACAAAGAAATAAATGATAGGGTTAGCACTGGTATTTATAATGAGGAACAAGGAAATTAAATAGGAAGTGGTGACCAACATTTTGAAATCTGATATGAAGGATGCCATGGTCAGGGGTAGGGCCCAGAGCAGGAACATGGTGGCTGAGATCTGCACGACCACATAGACCCTGGTGGCCTTTCGCTGCTGGGAGCAGCATAGAAGTCTAATGAGCAGAGTCAGACTGGACACACACATCACAAGTAAAAGGATACCATGGAAGACCTCAGAAATCTTTAGAAATATGACACATGCCTCTACATGTTTCCAGTAAATTAGGAAAAGTGAATTTACTATGTTGGTGCAAAGAGACAAGGCCCAGATAAGGCTGCAAACAACAGTAGATGTGTATTTTGGGCGGTGGCATCTGTACCAGATGGGGAAGAGGACGCACACACACCGCTCTATGCTGATGGCCACCAGGAGACAGAGACACACCTCAAAGGAGAAGGGAGACACTATGGCCAGGAAATTAGGGATAAAAAACACAACTCCATGATAAGTTAGCAGAATCATTTGTAAGAACCCCACAGCCGAGCAGCAAAGATAGATCACGCCAGCAGCAGCCAGGTGGAGGATGTACACTGTGTAGGGATTCGTGGGCCCACAGCAAAGCAGCCAGAAAACAGTGCCATTCAATAAGACCCCACAGAGGGAGACCAGCACGGCTGTGGGGGCAATGATCTTCAAGGGCAGGGCCTGCTGCCCCACTGCCGTGCTCATTAGCATATGTGCGATTTTATTCTTCTCATTTTGAAGGAAGACTCCACAGAGCTGGGATAGCAGGTCTGGGTTCTGTGCCTCCTGGTCACCACTGTGGAGACAAAGACTGCATGAGAGAGGTATCTGTGACACCAAATGCTGTTCATCCATCTCTCTGGCTGAACCGGTAAACTTTTCCCCTAGGCCATGGGGTGCTGGGACCTGGGTGGGCTACAACACCACAGTCAGGGGAGTGGTCCATCTAGTGGTATCCTTGGGCCTCATACCCCTTGCCTCTACATTTTCCTAAATTGGAATAGAACACCCATTGTTGGGTGTCCTTTTTAGAAACAGCTGAACATTAACTATATATCAGAGTGGATGGGAATATCCACTCTGCAAATAACTCCCCATGAATTTGTGATCTGTTCTCCTTCCCCCAACATATCTCCTGTTGTAGAGGATGCCCCAGGCCTATCCACATAGACCCAATATCTTGTTGTGTTGGGGCACTAATGAGTCACTAAGCATTGAGAATGGAGATTTGTGTCTGATCCAGGTTCTAGTCATGAGACACTAGTGTCTCATCTCTTTCAAACCCAGGCCTGGGGCATCCTTGGGCAGCCATACAAGATGCAGCAATGCCACAGTATGGCTCCACCCTGGGTTCAAACAGGTACAGGGGGGCACCAAGATTTCCAAGACAGGCATTTCACAGCAGTTGGCACCAAAGAAGTTCTTTCTATGGCTGGCAGGACTTGACCTGGAAAATAAGGAAATCTGCCTTTCTCCAGGGATATGAGGCTCAGGCAGTGTCTGTGTGAGCATCGACTGCTGTGCTCCAAATGTCAGCTGAAGAGAAGAAAATGAACAGACTTAGGGTGCAACAAATACAAAAGAGGCCTAAGAATATTAATAGAAATATTAATATAGAAAGAATAGCATTTTAATGCAATGTAAATATATTAATATAGACTAGCATCTTAATACCATGTAAATATATTTGTATATTAATAAATTATATTAACATAATATTGCTATCTTAACATGTTACTAATACTGATGTCATTAATATATTCATATTATATATTTATGTTAATATATTAATATGATATATTCTCAATTATGCTATCAAGATATTGATAATTAACATTATTTAGCTTATTAATAATGTGTCATTAACAATATTTATTTATTGCTGTTGTCCCAGGCATATTGAAAATAAAATCCCTGGCCGGGCGCGGTGGCTCATGTCTGTAATCCCAGCACTTTGGGAAGCGGAGCTGGGTGGATCACGAGATCAAGAGATCAAGACCATCCTGATCAACATGGTGAAACCCCGTCTCTACTAAAAATACGAAAAATTAGCTGGGCATGGTGACGCATGCCTGTAATCCCAGCTACTCAGGAGGCTGAGGCAGGAGAATTGCCTGAACCCAGGAGGTGGAAGTTGCAGTGAGCCGAGATCGCGCCATTGCACTCCAGCCTGGGTAACAAGAGCGAAACTCCGTCTCCAAAAAAAAAAAAAAAAAGAAAAAGAAAAGAAAAGAAAATCCCGTGAGTAATGTATTTTACAGCATTGTAGAAAGATTCAAACAGCTTCACGAGGTGTTTTGAAATTCATCCCTACTGTAAGCCGAGTGTCCTGCAGGTTGGGCAGGCTGCCAAAGTCCAAAAGCTTCAACATTTCCTTAGTGTCAGGATCTACTTCAGTGATCTCATGATCCAGGGCTGAGACCTTCGGAACATAATTGTCTCTCCTTTCTTTCTCCTACTCCTGCAGCTTTATGGAGATACCTCTCACTAGACCTCTCTGAATCTGCTTTGCCAGATGTGTGACATCGCCTGCTCTCTTGTTGTAGAGCTTCTTGCTGAGGATAACGGCGATCTCCTCACACACACTTGATAGTGTGTAAGTCATTGCCCAGGCACATGTGGTACTTTTCTATGATGACCCGGGCTGCCTTCGTCACAGTTTTGATGCAAACACGACACATGTTGGTGGGTCTTTGGTCATCGATATTAATTGATATTAACGTTATTCAGTTTATTAATAATGTATCATTAATATTTATACAATAATAGTAAAATAGTTCATCAGTACATTTTAATAATGTCAATATGCTTATAAGATATTAATTTATTATTGATACACGTGAATATATTAATATATTAACAACATATATTAATATATTTGGTATACTATATTATTTATATGATATGAATATGCTATTAATGGTATATTAATGACAATATATTAATAATAAATGTTATTGTGATTAATAGTTGTTTGTAATTGTATTTTATTATAATTATTTATGATTATATTATAATTAACAATAAGTACTGTTATATCTTGTTTATAATGAATAATTATTAGTATTATTATTTTTAAACTACTTCTAATAATTATTATTTTTATAGAATCTGGAATACGAAGCAGACTTTGCAAGGCTTCTCTGACCTCTGCCTCCAGCTCTAGGATCTGTGAAACACACTGGTGTCTTCTCCTAAACCTCCTTTTTTTAAGCTCCTTGAAAGACCATTTTATCATCTCCAATCAGCAGGAAAATGCCTCTTCAGTAGGCATGTGTCACTTGCCACAAACTTATCTTTGGCATGAGGATAAGACAGTGACTAAGGCAGAACTGTCTGTATCTTCTTTGGGTTTACATTGTGATAATTGCTATAAGAAAAATAAAATGGACTGAGTGGATAGGAAATGATAAGGGTAATGGGTGTTTCCTAGTGGGATAAATGAGGGGACCTTCTTAGTAGGACATGAAGATTTGAGTGACCTACTAGAGCAGTTGGGTGACAACTGGAAGGAGAGAGCCACAGACAAACTCACCAAGTTCTCCACTCTGGGGCAAGTAGCTTCATCTGCTTTGCTAATCCTTAATGTTCCTTTCCAGAGAGGTCATCTTATGCAACTTGAGCTCAATAACTATTTTTCTACTATTGAGTTAGTAAACCCCAAAAAGGTCTCTGCAATTCTAGAGAAGTAAGGGCTTATAAGCCATATTCAAGGTCGATATTCTGATCTCAGCCATCAGTGTACAGAAAGGGGCAGCCAGACCCCTTCAGAGCAGCACTGAGCTGCTGTCCCTGGAGTGGTGGAGCCTGACCACAGCTTCCTCTTTCAACCACTGAAATCCTTATCACTATTTTGCAGAAGACCAAAGGCATAGTCTCAGATGTGAATCTACTCACATGTTGGAAGTTTGCCCATGATGCTGAGAGCTGGTTTAAGTGGAAGATTCTGGATGAGTGCAGATATGAACTGTCAGCAGGAGAGCTCTGCTCTGTCTTTTTTCAAGACTCTGAGACAGAGGCCAAGAGCCTAGCATGAAAACACCTCAGACAATGCATCCAGAATAAGGGAGAACTGATATGAACCATTCACCCTCAGCCAAAAACCTGCTAACCTTGGGGAGGTGTGGTACCTCAAGGCTGACCACAAAATAGAGATCTCATGTGTTTTCCTTGGGGAGATTCCTGGCCACCTTCCTGTCTCAGGAAGATGAATGGAACTGTTTCACTGGAAGATGCCAACATCCCCTGTCCAGGGCCCTTTCTCTGAGCCTTGGACATTTCTGCTGAGTTGGCTAGGGCTCTGAGAATCAGCCCTGATGACCCTGATGCCCCGTTATGGAGTCCAGAACACTGAAGAACTTAGGATGCTTGAGAGGTGAAACCCTCTCGGCCCAAGGAGATCGAACCATCCTTTCCAAAGATCCTGAACACTGATAGTGACTTCTTATACTTGAAGACAGCTTCATAGGTGAAGTTGTCAGAGAAGTTGAGCTCACTAAAGCAAGATGTTTCTGTAACAAAGAAAAATCATTAAATGAGGCACTACAGCTGATCCATGGGAATTTTCAACAAGATGTTAAAGATTTCACTAGAGCTTAATCTTAGTCCTGCAGCACCAAGGGTATACTCTTCCTCCTACTGACCTGGGAAGAGCCAGTTCAGGGGAGAATAGGAGGAAAGAACCCCAATGTCCATTAACAGAGAGTGCCATCAGCTTCCAAAATGTGTCTCCAGTCAAGGACAAGCCAAGGTGACTCATCAAAGAGATGCAATCAAAACCACAACTAGATAGCACCTTACACCTGTTAGGATGGCCATTATGGAAAAACAAAAGATAACAAGTCCTGATGTGGATGTGGAAAAAGGGAACACTCACATACTGTTGATGAAAATGTAAAATGGTGCATCTTCTATTAAAAAAAATGGAGATTACTAAAAAAATTAACAATAGAATTGTACCATATGATCCAGAAATCCCACTTCCGAATATTTATCCAAAAGAACTAAAATCAGATTTTCAAAGAAATATTAGGACTCTGATGTACACTGCAATACTATTCGCAATAGCCAAGATGTGGAAACAACCTAAATATCCATCAAAAAATGAATGAAGAAAATGTTATGTGAACATACCATAGAACAGTATCCAGCCCTTAAAAAGAAGAAATTCTGTCATATGTTACAACATAGTTGAACCTGGAGATCATTATGGTAAGTGAGATTAGCCAGTCATAAAAGAAGAAATACTCCATGCACTTAAATGGGGTATCTAAAATAGTCAAATTTATAGAAGCCAAGAGTGGGATGGTTGTTCCCTGGGATGGAGGGTAGGAAGTAGGGAGTTAGTGGTCAGTGGGCATAAAGTTTCAGTTTAGCAAAATAGATAAGTACTAGAGCTCTACTGCACAACAGTAGTAGTTGCCTATAGTCAACATTAGTGTACTGAAGTGTTTTTGGAACTGAAGCTGCTTCATCTTTTTGAGCCTCGGGTGCTTCCTCTGCAAAATTAGAATACTGGTAATACCTACTCGTGGGTTTGAAAATTAAATGGGTGGATAGCATGTAAGTGCCTAGAGCAGTGCTAAGTATATAGTGAGAGATGGATAAATAAATATCATCCTTTTGGGGCAGATGAATATTAATAAGCAAATGCAGTAAATTAGATCATTTCAGATGGTGCTTGCTACTCTTACGGAACAAAAAAAAAGTGGCAGTGGAATGGACTATCCCAAGGAAAACGAAAAAGACACTGAGCCACTTAGGTTGGTCCTTTCTGAGTTGGTAATATTTCCTGACTTTTTCAGTAAGACAATCCTGGGTATATCTAGAGGAAGACTGCCACATATTGTGAGCACCTATGGGTACAAAGGCCCATAGGAAGGATGGTCGTATAGTTGAAGAAAAGAAAGAAGGCCAGTGTAGCTGAAGTTTAGGGAAGGAAAGAGGGAGAGAAATAAGTTTAGAGAAGTAGGCACCTGTGGAATTACATAGGCCAAGACAAGAAATTTGAATTTTAAATTCAATGGCTGGCTGTTGGAAAGTTTTAAACTCAGAGAATATCTGGATTTATTTATTTATTCATTCATTCATTTAGAGATGAGGTCTCAGTCTGTCACCCACAGGCTGGAGTTCAGTGGTGCAATCACTTCCACCTCTCCAGCCCAATCAATGCCCCCACCTCAGCCTCCTGAGTAGCTGGGACCACAGGCATGTCCCACCACATCTGGCTATGTTTCTTTTTTAATTTTCTAATTTTTTTTTCTCTCTCTCTCTTTTTTTTTTTTTTTGTTTTGTTGTTGTTGTTGTTGTTGTTGTTGTTGTTGTTGTTGTTGTTGTAGAGATGGTAGTCTCCCTATGCTGGTCTCAAACACCTGGAGCTCAAGAGATCCCCTCCACCTCAGCCTCCCAAAGTGCTAGGATTACAGGGATGAGCCACCACACCCAGCCAAGGATTTGCATTTTAATAGATCACTACTGCACACTTAAAATTATTAGGATAATATATCTTGTGTCAAGAAGTCTTACCACAATAAAGCAAAATTCACATGCATAAAAAAGAATAACCAAGGATGGATTCCAGCCCCCAGTCCTCAAAGAAAGGGCTGCACTGTCCTGTTAATGTTCTTTCCCTGGGCAGAAACACATCTAAAATCCTTGAAAACATTCTTCTGAATTAGAGAGATAAAAAAGAGAACCAGATGTAAAGAGAACACAGTTCTCTTATCTGTGACATTCTTGCTGGGGCAAGGGGCAGGTCAGGGGGCAGTGAGGCTCAGACAGAAGGACAGGTGACCCCACTGTGGACCAATGGTCTGGAATCGTCTTCTCTGTCCTCTGGCTCTGAGCTGTCTTTTGGACTTCCAGGAGTTGCTGGACCTTGAGCAAGTTTGATAAAGATTTCCACGTGTTCCTTGTTTTTCCTCTGGCCAATGAGTGGCTTCTAACTGTGAGGACAGACAGCTGAGCATCCCATGGTTTATCACATGGTCAGCTGCTCCACTGTGGCTTTATGTGCCCACGCAGGTCCTTCCTCTCTCCATCGGGCTCCTTTCTCTTACTCTGATCAGAGCTCGGTATAGCCCTGGCTCCCTCATCCTAGGGATAGGGAATAGGGTCTTGCGAGGAGGAGACCCAATTCCAAGTCAGATATGCTGAGTCAGTTTCTAGCAAGCTGAGCTTCATGGCATTGCTCTTGATAAACACAAGATCAAGATCAAATTCAGAGAGCCCTTCAGACAAAAGCTTTCACCATGCTTCCCTCCCAAAGAAAGCATCCCTTGAGGGGTGTTCCAATACAATTTGTAAAGAGAGAAGCCAGTAAAGTTGCCCTTTCTTTACCTCAGTAAGAAAGGCCTGGCCATGGCCCTGATAGTTTGAAAAGAGTGCCCTTCTATCACAAGGCATGGGTATGTATTGGGACTTCTGTGACCACATTTCACCTGCATTTTCACCTGTCCGGGTCCACAGCAGTTATGAGAGATTCTATCTGTCTCTTCAACACACATCAGATCAACCTTGCGCACTGACTGATGTCTCAGGACTCAGATTTGGGGTTACCATGAGCTCACCATCACTTTAACTTCACAGTACTTTTCCCTTGATCTGATCTCATCTACCATATTCACTTTATGAATGCATATTTCTAGATACTGATTTTCAAACTGAGTGGTCCCAAAGGTTGATGTTCTGTATGCAATTATTTCATTTTCTTTGTTCAAAGATGGTAACAGTCATCCTCATATAACAGTTTCTTGGTCACTTACCATGTGAATATGCAGTCTCTGGGCATGGGGGCCTCTGGACTCTCAATCTCTTGTGTCCTGTTTTGCTGCCTGATCCTAGTTAGGACAGGCACTGAAAATCAAAACCAATGGTATATTGTTACCCTGTGAGAAGATGTCTTGCTTAACTGTAGAATAACATTTTTTGTTATCTCTTGTTACCCTTCCTGGCCTTTTCCCAACAATCCCACAGTCATGTTGATGTATGCTGCAGGGCGTTGTGCTCCACTCTATGCCTCCCACACTGACTGGCTTTTCTCATCCAGTAGCTCTGAAGCACGAGAGGCTGCTGGACTTAAGGGTGCTCTGAAAACTCCTCACCTATATCTGCCTCCCAATTCCCACAATGCCCTTTCATGGTCTTCCTCCTGAGGCACATAGGAAGTGTGCTTCTTAGAGGACTTTCACTTAGTGGAATTATCTGTCTCTTAAAATGTAATCTGTATTTTTTTTTTAACAAATAAAGGCCTGCATTTGTTCTTTCTGGTATGCAGACATCAGACTCTTTTTTGACCCTTGAAATCAGTTTCTCTGTTTCTGATTAACTCTGGAGATTTTGTCACTGATGCTGGGCTGCTTTACTTGGTTCCAGGAATTCGCCCTTTGTCCTCTGTGGAAGCTTTAGTTCAGGTCTCATTTTTTCCCTTGAGCACAAGACCCCTCCCTTGATGTAACACCTCACATTCTCCAGTGCAGGCCATCTGTTCGGTCGAAGCAATTCCAACCGCTTCTGCAATTAAGCTGTCAAGAGAAGGAAGAAAGGAAAGGAATGAAATGATCTGGTTTCCCTTGAAGATTCTTATGGTCACAAAGAGGAAAAGATCCTGGGATGGAAAAGAGATATTAGATAAAAACTAAGAAAATCTGAATAAAGTGTGGTCTTTAGTTAATAATATATCAATACTGTTCATTAGGTATAACAAAGAATCATACTAATGGGAATATGGGCCGGGCATTTATGGAAACTCTCTGGACTGTTTTTGCAATTTTCTGTAAATCTAAAAATGTTCTAAAAATAGTTTGTTAAAAACTGAATTGGATGCTATAAACAAAGAAAAAAGAAATGTAATAGGACAAACAAAAACTAAATGTTTCAAATGCTCATTTCAAATGCTGAATAAACTTGATAAACTACTGGTGAGAGCAATCAAGAAAAAATAAAGACAACACAAAATAATAATACATGATTGAAAAAACTAATATCAGCAGCTATTCTACACATATCTGAATGAAGAAGATGGTGTGAATAATTGAGTATCAGTTTGCTTCCTCCAGGATCCCACTGATCGCCATAGAAGGTTCAACAACCCCAACATCTTCATCCAAATAGTGTCTTGTAACCTTTACCTGCCCTCTCTTCCTTGAAAATCACTGTTCCCTGGTCCCCATGGGGGAGCCTGGGCCTTAAGCCACTTTATCTTTACTCTGAAGGAAACTCCTCTCCAGCTGAGTCAGGTCCTCATGAGATTCTAGGGGTTGCTTGGCCTCCTATGTCCACTCCCCACAACATTAGCCTGTAGCCTCATAGGGACCAGACTTTAGCCCAGCTTCCAACATACCCAACAATGTCAACCCTGTGGGGAAGTTCCTGGAGGTGTTTAAGGATGTAACAATTCAGTGATAGGGACATTTGGGGTGCTTGTCTATGTGGAAACTGACATTACCATTTTCCTATTTTCTGAGTAGTTTATCATTTCTTGATTGCTGTCTGTCATTTTGGGAAGAAAATCAAATAAGCATCTTGTGAGTATAAGAACAACAGTGCCTCACTTACTAAAAAGGGACTTTGGAGGAACCTTGTCCAGTTGGATCTTTCCCAGGTTCAGACAAAGCAACCGACCTCCAGGTTGCTGACAAGTGTCCCTTGGTCAGTGGCCCTGTGGAAGTACAAAAGGCCCACTGATTTTGGGGACTCCTTTCATGATTCTAATTTTGCAGAGGGTCCTGTACCCTCTCCAGGCTATGGGTGGCTTTATGGGAAAATCCTGCCTCATCATAACCCCCTTTGGTGTTCACTGACACCTAGATCCAGATCCTTGGTAACCGCAGGGGAAAGGGGACAGCAAGAGCACAGTCTGTGTTGTGCACCACAACCTGGGCAAGAAAAGCATCAATCAAAAGAGATGAGCCTTGCTGGTAGGGGCCAGGAAGGGTTCTCTGAATTCTTGTGTTGCCAGGGACAGAAAAGAATGTGGTGCAGAGTGAAAAGGGGGTTTTGGGTGATGGGTGCACATCTGATTGATAACTTATGCAGAATCGTTTTCAAGTCTCTCTTAGGAGGCTAAGGGGCATGGGTTGGGGATCAAAGGTGGTATAGTAGAGGGTCTGGTGACCTGGGATCTGGGGGTCTCACTGTCCTGACACAGAAGCTGGTAAGAAACTTGCAGCAGAGCCTCAAGTTGGCAATTCCAGGTTTTGGTGCTTTCATTCTCTCAGACCTCCCTCAAAGGATCAGATGCCCTTCCTCATCCCCAGCCTCAGCCTCCCCTGAGCCCTCCAGGAAAGCAGGCTGTGTGGGTCTCCCAAACAGAGGCAGGAGCACCAGCCCTACAGACCCAGTAGCTGCTGGGTGAGGCAGATGGTGGCATAGGGTGAGGGCCACGGTGTTCCAGGGCTGCTTAGGCTGCTATGAAATTCATCCCCCACAATCCTCAGGGACCTCTTCTCTTACTGAAAGGGACATTCTTAGAACATGCTGACCTGAGTTGCAAATCCCTGGTGCTGTGTGGAGAAATGTCTCACCACCTTCTCCTATCTCTCCCCCATCACTGCCAAGCCCCGAGATTGAGCCACTGAAAAGACGTCCAGGGTCTTTGCCTGTGGCTGCTGGGCATACCTGAGCACATGTGCCGTGGGCTGCTTGTGATAGGCTGGAATACCTAACCCAGGTGTCCCAGAAGCCACCACAGACATCACCTGTCCTCCCTTGGTGGTGGTCTTTGAAAAGTGAGTCTAGACACCCTAAAACTGGAATCCAGGCTTCCTGCTTTCAAGGGCAGGTGGTCCCCCATGGTGCAGCTGTGATTCTCAGCCCTCCTCTGGGCTGTGCCTCAGCTGGGATATGAACATTCACCCTTGGCCTGGATGCTACTGCACCCACACTGAACCATCACACCCCACGCTCCCTGGCCGTCCTTCTAGGACACCCTTCTCATGAAGTCGAGAGGATGAAAAGAACAGGAAAGCATGTCAATCCTCCTGCTGTCCCCATATGGCAGAGGCTGTTGTGGGGATGTCTGTTGTACTTGGGTGAGAAAGCCCCTTGGCCTCAAGCGCTGCCATGCAAGAATGCTACAGACAGAGCCAGGTGATAGGAAAGAGCATGTCCAGGAACTCACCTGATGCCAGCCTCAGCTCAGACTGAGGATGAGGCAGGAGGCCTCTTGCTAGGCTTAGGGGATATGGCAGGAGGAGCCTCCTCAGGATGCCAACTGGGCTGGGTAAAGCCAATAGAGGGTTTGGGGACCAGGGAAGCTGTGATTTATCAAGCACTGTGGACATTGCAATATTTTCACTGCTCTGTTGAGTCCAGTGGGACATCAGTCCTGTGCATCAGCCCTCTTCCTCTAGCCCTGCCCAGTCCTGGGTGGAGAAACCTCTCCCAAGTGACTTCTTCCCTTCCAAGTGACCTGTTTCCTTCCTCAGGTGATCTCAGGTCTGCCACAGGACTACTTCCTTGCCAGGTAAACTCTGCCCTCTTGGTGACATAGTGTGCTCAGGCAACATTAGCCCTCTCAGATGACCCCAATCCTCCAAAGTGACCTCAGCCTTGGTGAAGTCTTTGCATGGTGACTTTGGCTTTTGCAGGAGGTAGGCTACTGCAGGGGCATGAGCCATATCATGGCATGAACCACTGTCCTACTCTTGTTCCAGAATGAGGAAGACATCTAGGTCCTGGCCCAGCTGCTGGCCAATGAGAGGCTTGCCATGCATGGTACTCTCCCAGGTGACCTCTGCCCTCTCAGATGACACACTCCTTCCATGAGATATTAGCCCACAGTGGACAGCTACCCACAAGGCATCACACAGCCAGGACAGGGGATGGCCACAGTGGCTGGGTAATTGTGACTCACAGTTAAGGTACTTTCTGTGCCATATTCATTTTTACCCTCCAGGACATCCCCTGCTTAGAGTCCCACAAAAGCCTGGGGCTGGTCAGGGACCCCCACAACCCAAGTCAGACACCTCTTGTCCCCATCAGAAAAGGGGATCACAGCTTCCCTGTGACCACTTTCCACATCCTGGAGCCATAATCCTCTGGCCTTGACCTTATGCAGATGACTCTTACCACCCTGCTGATCCTTCCACCTCCTAGCTGGCCATGCTCCCGACCACCCTCCCTGTCCATGGCTAGACCAAGCCCAGATGACAGAACCTCTCCGTCCTGTGTCCCTTGGCCTGACTCCACATCCATGAAAAGGCCAAGCACCCTCCAGCACCCCTAGTCACCCCACCAGCTCCCACCTGCCCTCACTGCTTCAAAGGCAGGCCTGCCCTTCTGGAACAGTGCCTCCAGGCAGGCCCCAGGGGACATTCCCAACCCTCCTCTCCTGGCTGAGACCACATGATAGGGTCACTGGTTGAGAGAGTGAAAGGCCTTCGGGTCTGGAAGCAACCACCACTACCCAACTGCTGCTGCCCAACTTCCACTGCCTAACTGCCATGCCCAACCACCACTACCCAGCCTGATGGCTCCTCATCTCAGGAGTAACCTCTGACTTCCTAGGGCCCCAGGAGCCTCTGAGGATTCTACACCCCAAGATGTTTTAAGTTACAGAGTCTCCAAGTCCATTGAGAACAAGTTTTGCTAGAAGTGCTCTGAGATCTTATGAAGCACATGGCAAGTGGACAGTCCCCTCCTCTTCCCCAGAGGCCCTGGGTCCCACAAGGATTAGGCAGACAGGGGAAGCCTGGGGCTGGTGAGAGGCCAACTTCCAGCCAGACCTTGACCTGTTTTTCAGTGGGCTCCAAGTTTGACCTCCTTTTCCTTACCTGGAGGGAACAGAGGTGCTGGGACCAGGCCAAGCTCTGGCTGAGCCAGGGCTAAAGGAAGTATGTCCACTGGGGGCCCATGCAGTGGGGAGGCATTGGGGAAGCCCCAGCCACCAGTGTTCTGCCTCATAGGGAAGAGTCTTCAGTGAGAATGCAGAGCTTTTCAGGGAAGCCCAAGGGGCCCTAAACTCTTCTGCTCTTTCTGTCAGGATGAGGAAATGTTATGCATCCAGCTTTCTACCTTAAACTGCTTTCCCTAGTGCTTCACTGATGGAATAAGGATGCATAAAGGGACCCTAGGCCAGGTATCTTCCTTCCCCACAGTGCTCAGCTCCCCTAGCCCCATGGTCTGGCTTCCTGAGGAAGATCCAGCTCACCCCCAGCCCACAGGAGGCACAGGCAGGTCCCTGCAGGGCACACAAGCCAGGACCTGCCTGATGAGAGCATCACAATGCCAGAAGCCAGGGAATTCTGGGCAGACTGAGCCAGTACTCACCTTGGAAGAGCCAGGGGAACCTGAGAAGCCACAAGCCCTCAGGAAGTCCCTTATTCCGGGAGCCGCATTCCTGCTGAGATAAGTCTACCCCCATGAATTGCTGCCAGACCTTGTCTGAACCAGCCCTATGGGGGATGGAATGGGTCTCTTCCCAAGCAAAGAGAGCCTCAAGAAGTCCAGACTGAGCTATATTGGACCTTGCTCAAGTCACTGGCCCTGAGGCTGGAAAGGCCAGGTCCTCCCCCACCCGCTGTTCCTGCTGACGTCCTTCAGGCTCGTCCTGAGGCTCTGGGATATCTACCTTCTGAAGGGTGAGTCTGTGGTGACAACTATGGCATACGTGGCCTTCACAGCACACAGAATTCAGTCCCTGGGTGCCCAATGGCACCCAGAAAGAGCATGTAGGACAGACCCTGGATCCTACACCCAGAACAGATCCCTGGCTTGTGTGTGATACCTGAAACCAACATCCACACTGTCCATATGGCCCTCTGCTCTAGCCCAGAGGTGGAGCCAGACCAGGCCTGGAGGGCTGGCTAGGGAGTGGACCCAGGCACCAAACCCACTCCTGACATAACCCAGATGAAAGGCAGGAGTGTGGTAAGCACTTCTCTGCCCAGACCTTCCTCCAGCTGTGGTTTTCTGTGCATAACCGGAACCCTGGGACAACCACAGTAGGCTCCAGCACCGCCTAGTGGAAGGTACCAGGGATGGGAACAAGGTGCAGAAACTGACCCTCCCACACACCCCTCACAGCTGGATAGTCAGCCTGTCCCTAGAACACCCCCTGAAGCTGTTCCTGTTTGGCCTGCAGGAGTTCCTTTAGGACATGCTGTCCTAGGCCTAACCCTGGAGGAGGACATAGTAATGAGGCACCCTGAGGCCTCCATGGGGGAACCGAGAAGCATGCCCTGTGACCTGCACCCCCAGGTGGCCTTTAGCACCAGGTCTTCTCCTATGTCACCCTCTGAGGCAGCAAATAGTGACAGGTGCCCAGACCTCACCAGCCCTACTCTCTGGGCCTTGTCCCAGCCCTTCATCTCCCTCTTCCTCTAAGAAGCTTCTGAAAACAAGCTGCCTGGGCCCTAGGGCAAAAGCTGACCTTGGGTTTACTACACATGCCTCAGAGACAAGGTGTATGGGATATGAGCAAGACCCTCCCCTGTACCCTGCTATTCTCACCCATGAAAACCCCAGAAGGACACTGGAGGGGTGGAACCCATCTGTGCAAGCCCACAACCACACCTGTGAGTACCAGCAGCACCAGAGAGCACCAGAGGCTCTTCACTCCTGAGCACCCCTCCAAGGGCCTAAAATCAGTGTCTGAAACATTGAGAGCACTTGGGGAGAGGGCATAGATGAAACCCTGACCCAGAGCCAGAATTGAGAGCTCAACTGAGTGTGGGAACAGTCTAGCCCTGGGATGGAAATCCCCTAGAGGGGTAGAGGGTGTCTCACTCACTGTGGAGATAAACCCCCATGTCAGGTGGCAAAGCAAGTAGGTAACAGTTAAGGCCCCATCTATCTGAGTTCTGAATCCGGGCTAAATCCCAGATTAAGTAACCCTGGGATAAAAGTGTGAGGCAGGAAGCCTGAGCCAGCCCCTGGTGGGCTGACCCAGGATTGACTTGAGGTTCCTTAACAGCTTCCCCACCCCAGGCTGCACATACACCTCACCCTGGGATCAGCAGCCTGCAGAGTTGTCCTCAGCGTTAGACCATGGGAACCACATGGGGACCCTAAGGACTCCAGGGACCCAGGTATAAGGGGCCCAGCCTGGCAAAAGCAGGATGTTCTCAGTGGAGAAGCTAACCAAATCTACTTTTCTTTCAGCCAAACCTGAGCAAGTGCCCCTAGCACCCAGGCCTCTGTGGGCATCCCCCAGCATTGAGACCTTCCCCAAGGGGACAGTCTGGTCCTCCTTGGGCCACAAGTCCAGCTCCAGCAGCCCATGGGTGTAGCCCTCCTAAAACGGGAACCTCGTCTTCCCTCACCCTTGCCTGGCTAGGCTGTCCCCAAGGCCAAAGCCCAGAGACACGAGGGAGCTTCTGCAGAGCCCAGGATAGCAGGCTGCTCTCTGGGGGCCCTGGGGACACAGAATGTGGCCAGCCTGTCCCCAGCTCAGGACAGGATGCTTGGTGATTCCTGCGTTGGAACTCCCTCTCAAAGCTCCCCATGGATCTGGACCTCAGAGGCCTGTGGTTTTCACAGTACAGCTTGGAGCAGAGAAGCTAGGCCCCTGTCACTTCCATATTTGCCCTGGACATCTCTAAGACCATGGGACTGGTCCAATCCCCAATACCAGCCCTGCTCAGTCCCCTGATAGCCCAGTGGTAGGGCCAAAGACAACTCTCCTGAATGTGGTGCCTGCATCCGATCATGGAAGGTGACTAGCATGGCCCAGAAGGAGCTAGGGCAGCACCTGGAAAGCTGCCCCAAAGCCCCAGACAGTTCCTTAGGCATGGAAAGTCAATCCCGATGAGGAAGCTGGACACTTGGAGGCCACTGGAGAGAAGGGTGAGCATGGCATCCTCACAGCCCAGGTCAGCCAGCAGCTTGCCCTACATCCACAGTACCAACCTGTAAGGCAGAACTGACCTCTCAAGGCACAATTTCCAGACCCAGAGGGCCCTAGCCCAGACACAACCTGAGCCCTGAAAGAGAAGGGGCACCAGAAGTGCCTTGGGGCCCCCAGCAGTAGCCAAGGTAAGCACACAAGAGACTGAGTCTCCTGTGGCCTTGGCCAGAACTAGTACTTGGCTTAAGGCAGAGAAAGCCCCCTTGGAGCACTGTGTACATACCCAGGGCCTGTGTGTGCTCAGCAAGGCCAAGCTGATAATGTTACCAGGCTCAAACTACAACTGGCCTTGTGGGGTGAGGGTGGGGCAGAAACAGGTAGACCAGCCACCAACCTCATCCATTCAAGAAAGCAGGAATGGCCAGGATCCTGCTGGATAAGTGGCCACCACCAGACCACCAATGGGGCAGAGTCCTGAGGCCCAAGCAGATAGCACAGGGGCCCTGCTTCCAGGGTCCACGATCTGCTCCAGGACACAGGACTGAAGAAAACTAAGCAAATGAGAGCCCAGGAGGCAGGAACCCTACCTCTGCCATTCTTGGCAGTTGTATTTTGTGGTTAGAAAAAGTCAGGAAAACTGGCGCTACCCGCTGCAGGAGGCTCCAAAGTGGGACCAGAGCTTCCAGCATAGATTCAACAATGCCTGAGAAAGCTCTTCTTGGGGAAAAGGACCTCTTCCTTGGCCTCAAAGCCCCCACTTATTTTTATTAAAGCACAATAAAGTCTGTTGTTATGACCTGTTTTTGAGTTGCCCAGAGCTTTCAGCAGGAAACCCTGGACATGCTGGGGTGGATGGGAAATGAGGGTGGAACAGCCCAGACCCTGATCAGCCTCTCATAGCTTCCTTATCCCAAAGGCCACAGCAAGGCCAAGGACCAGAATGGCCAAGTTTCCCACAGAACTGTGAGACCACACTGCACTGCAGCCTCCCACTCTCAGGCAGATGCCAGGGTTAATAATTTACTGCGATTCAACCTGCAGCTGACAAGGACTCCCAGAGGACTGGAAAGGGAGCAAAAGGTTGGAGTTCCAATGACATTGGACATTCATGACGGTCCATACAAAGCATCCCTGAGGGTCTGCTGTCACCTGTGTCGACTGTTCTTGGGTAACTGGTCTCAGGCAGCCCTTCCTTTCTTCCCTCCCTCCCTCCTTCCATCTCTCCATCCCTCTCTTCCTCTTTCCCTTCCTTGCTTTCCTCATCCTTCTTTCCATCTCATCTCCTTTCAGCATCTGGCAATCCCAGGTCCCAAGCCTATGTTAAGAAGGGACATAAAGGACACCACTGAGAACAAGCCAGGTGACTAGAGGGGTCAGGGGAGCCTTGTGGAGTCAGAGTGGATGGGGAGCGGTTTATCTGTGCAGCCCAGGACTGATGCCCCAGGAGCAATCTAGAACAGTGCAGAAGTGTGTGTCCCTGTATGTGCATATGTGCACATGTGTGCATGTGTATGAGTGTATGTGCCTGTGCACTCCTGTTTACTCAGTTCTGCTCTAAATCCATGCCCATAACCCCAGAAGATCCCAGCTATGCCCTCGCTAATGTCTGCTGTGATCAAGCATGGCCCCTGCTGGTGGTTATTGCACTTGTGATGCCATCCTCGAGACTTCCGAGCAATAGAAACCAATGGACCCCTTTAGGCTTTTCCTTTCAACGAGACATAAGTTATACGGACAGAAGTTATATTCTATTTTCTTTCCATTGATTGTTTTACCATCTTTCTCCTCTTACTGATTTTGAATGAAGGGGGTTTTTCATGGGGTTAAGGTAACTGGCAAGAAACAAGGTAACAGCCAGGTGCAGTGGCTCATGCCTGTAATCCTAGCATTTGGGGATGTCGAGGAGGGTGGGTTGCCTGAGCCCAGAAGTTCAAGACCAGCCTAGACAACATAGCAAAAGCCCATCTCTACCAAAACAAAAAAATTAGCCAGGTTTGGTGCACACATCTGTAGTTCCAGCTACTCACGGGGCTGAGGTGGGAGAATGGCTTGAGCCTGGGGGTGGAAAAGTGGAGATTACAGTGACCTGAGATTGCACTATTGCATTGCAGCCTGGGCAGCAGAGTAAGACCTTGTCTCAAAAAATAAATAAGAAATGAGGTACCGAGAAACTAGCCAAGCTTCACCTGGCTGTCTGGAGACAGCCCTTGTGTGGTCCCCAGCACACTTCGCAGGTTCTGGGCTGGCCACTCTGTGGCCTCTGTACTGTGTGTATAGACCCAGGCTCTGTGAGAAGGGCCCCATGAGACCCAGCAAAACAAGGTACCTGGTCTGACAAACATTCCTCCATTTCTCTGGCTGCAGCTCAAGAATAGGCCCAGACAGCATGTCCAGGAGATGCCAAACCTTACTATATCCTGTCAAATAGGTCCAGTGGACCTTGAAAGAGTTAGCATGAAGCTGGCCACCCAGAGCCGGAGACCAGCTGTCCCTCCCTGTGCCCTGGAGGAAGGGCCTGTCCCAGGAAGACTCCTAGGGCTTGGCTCATCAGTGTAGATGTGAGGAAACAAGAGTCTGTAGACAGGAAGGGGTATTGGTAGGGGACTTTGAACACCACTGCTCAGAGGACATGAATGGCAGGGTGGGAGGCATTTCCCATTTCTGCCCTGAGCACAGCACCCCTTTGACTCCTGAGGGCCATGAGGAGTCCACTCCCCAGAGCCTTTGATAGGATCCTGCATAAGAGTCTATCAGAGATAAGATTTGCAAATGCTTCCTCCAGCCTGGGGCTTGTCTTTTCATTCTCCCCATAGGATCTTTCAGAGTGCACACATCATTTTAATGAAGTTCAATTATTTTTTTTCCTTTTATACATCATGCTTTTGGTATATATCTAAGAAATATTTCTCTAATCCAAAATCACACTGATATCCTCCTTTTTCCTTATGTAAATTTTAAAGTTTTAGGCCTTACATTTTGGTTTATGATACATTTTGAATAACAGTGCCATGTGTAAAGTTTTTAATATGCATCTCTAATTGTTCTTACAGTATTTGTTGCTAGGATTTTCTTTTTTCCACTGAATTTGCTGTACATCTTTTGAAAACCAATTGAATATATATGTGAGGATCTATTCTGGACTCTCTCTTTTATTGATCTATTTGTCTAGCCTCTTACCAATACCATACTGTCCGAATTTCTGAACCTTTACAATAAGTCTTGAAGTTAGGTACTGTAACCTCTCTGACTTGATTCTTCTTTTTTAGTTTTTTCTTTTTCTATTTTAGGTCAACTGCATTGCCACACACAGAAACATGTGACCCTGTACATACATACATATCCAGCACAAATACACATATGCAACACAAATATAAAGATACGCACAGAATGACCAAGTGAAATTTATCCCAGGAATGCAAGGTTGCTTCAACATTAAAAACAGGCAAGTATAACTCATCATATTAATAGATTAAAAGACAAAGGCACATCATTATTTCAGTACATTTGGAAAAAGGATTAGACAAAATCCAACAACATTATAAAAACTTCCAGCCTGTTTCTATTCCTAAAAACTAAGAATAGAAGTGAATTTCTTAAAATGATAAAAGGCACCTACACAAACTTTATGGTTGATACTTAGTGAACATTATTCTTTTTTCAAAATTACGAAAGGAAATTTATTTTAAAAATATCTAGGATATTTACATTTAAACAAGGTGATAAATGGATGTCTTGCAAAAGAAAAAAAATCCATGGCATTACATTTTTTATTGAAGTTCAGAAGCAAAAATAGCCTAAGTTGTGCACTATTGCTTTAGGAAAGAGAAGGGGAAGAGTGAGAGATAAGGGAACAGTTAAGTCAGTATCAAATTTGAGAAAGTAAAGTCACTTCTGCTCAGCTTAGAGTTTAGAAATATGCTTATAAAGAGGAAAAGTGGTAAAATTTCACTTAATGTTCAAATTTATTTAGCTGTAGTCACCATACAATTTCTGTACTTGAAATGGCTTTGGGACACTGGCTGATCTCTGAGGTCCAGATTAGCTGGTCAGTTTTCAAATGGCAATTCTATATTGCTTTGTTCAAATTCCAAAGGAGTTTAGGTTCAGCTCATAATCCTTTAGAATGTTTAGAGACTATTCTGGTGGACATTATTCTTAATGATGAAAGACTGAATGCTTTCACCCCAGATGAGGAACAAGGCGAGGATGTCAGCTCTCACTACTTCTATTCAACATCCTACGGAGAGTCCAGCAGTGCAAAGGGCTCCTTCCTTTAGTACGCTCAGATTTCCATCTGTAGTCATTATTCTCCTGCTAGATGGATGTCCTTTACCATTTCTCAATCTGCACATCTCCTGGTGATGATTTCTTTCATCTTTTCTCTGTCTGAAAACCCCTTTATTTTGCCTTTTTATTGGAAAATACTTTGACTGTACAAAGAATTCTAGGTTGACTTTTTTTTCTTTAAAAAAAAAATACTTCCATACAACTCACAATTTTAAAATAAGAAATCTGCTTGGTATCTTTGATTCTCTGTATGTATATGTCTTCTTCTCTAGCTGCTTATAGGAGGACTCAGCTTCTTAGACATGTATAATAGACATGTATGATAAAGATGCAGTAACTACATAGTGTGGTGTTATTCAAGGATGAATAAATAGACTAATAGAATAGAGCAGAGGACCCAGAGACAGATTCACAAGAGTCCGAGTGTGATTGATCATCAAGGAGTAGAGTGATGGTGAAGGACTATGTTTGTTATAATGTGCTGGGTTCATTTGATAACCACTGGCTAAGTGGGCCAAGTGGTCTTTTGTCTTAGGCTCAAACAGGATAATGATAATGTTATCTATTCATAGAATTGTTAAAAAAAATACCT